ACATGTTGGTGATGATATGAGAATTGTGAGGAAATTCTGGTTTGTTTCTGTACACTTCTATGTGAATTCAAGTGAAGACTTTCATAATTAGGGAGGAAACTCGTGAGCTCAGCTAAGGGAAGCGAACATATATTTCTCCAACACTGCCAACAGAAAACATAGTTTGGTTGTGTTCAGGTACTGTCGTGATGTTCATGACGTTTGCATGGTGGTGGAAGATGGAGAGGATAATGAATGCGATCAGAGATTCTTAGAGTAGCGGGATCACCTGGGTCGGGTAGAGGGAAAGGGTTGTTCTTTCAGGGCGGCGTTATTGGTGAACCACAACATTGCAGTTCACCGTAGGTCTTTGAAGCAGTTGGCACAAGAGGTTGATGTAGATGAAAAAACTAAAGTGAGTTGGAAAGAGAAAGTGGGAAAACTGGTATGTGATACTTTCTCAGGTAGTGAGGATATGTAATGTCATTGAGCCGAACCGAGCGGTTGAAATATCCGTTTTTTATTACAGGGCGGGTTATGGTCCTGATCATTACGTTGATGGTAAGGGGAGAGTTGGAAATGGTGTGGTATTGATATCGAGCATTCAGAGTCCTGTTGGGAAGTCCGAAGACGTCTGGAAGGGAGTAGGGCCGTACAGTGCCCGTCTATTCCACAACAGCTAGCTGGTGGGCATAGGGAGGGTTACGAGAGGGGTGGGAGAGGGATTGTGCATGTTAGGTACTAAAAAGGTGCAGCAGCTTTGGTATAGCGATCCAAGTGTAATGGGACGATTCGGATTAACACAGGAAGAAGCTGATAGAATGCGGGAGCACTTTGCGGTGGGGAGGAGGGTGTTGATGTTGTGGTGAAGTGGTGAAGGAGTGGTAGGTACAAGTGGACCCTTCGGAAGCTGAGGAGACTGTCGCTGAGGCTTTAAAGGAGCCGTCAGGTTGGGTAGAAGGGAGGAGAGGTTGGGTAATTTGAGAGGCTGTTGTTTGGCAGGTTTTGAAGCCTCAACGTGAAGGTGGCGGTCATAATATGTACGGCGATGAGCTTGTTGATGCTCTCAAAACGACTCCTAGAGAGGAGTTGAAACAGTAGGGCTACAGAACACTTTCGAACTGACTGTATCCTGTCTATTGTAGGTTTGTATTGATGGAGCGTATGGTACCGTCACCACTCCCATGCCTTGCTATCGATGTGAGTCAATCGTCCACTTTACTCATTGACTTGTTGTCTTTAGACCCCAGCTAGTCGAGAGGCGTTTCGAGTCATACCAAAGATGATCCCGAATGGGGTATCGGAATTGGGTATTTACTCGGCTATGGTTATGAAGGGCAACCACAGTGTGATGGATAAACCTTGTGGCCATATGCTTAGGACTAAGGATGAGTAGGTTATCATGGATTGAGATATCGTACTAACATCGATTGTTTAGGAGTGTGATGGAGGGCGGAGTTCACGCCGGTTATGCTGTTATGGACACAGCTTTGCTCACGGATGAAGACATATCTAGTTTGCAGTAATGTTCGTCTATTTATATTGATGACATTAGCATCGGTGTCTCCCGTATTGACATAGAGTATCGATCTGATGTAGACTGACAAAATTGATTCATCCAATTTCCCTCTTTTTATGGGAGTTCAGCCCGCCCAGTGTCTTTGTGTTAGGAGGGTCAATGGTGTTTCGCTGATGGTAGTTAATGAGGGGCATACCTACAGTGAGCTATGGTCGCTACTGTACTGAATGATGACCTTTTGCCGCCAACCTCTCCCACAGTCTCAGCCTTGTCGGCGGAAAGCGAGGCCTCGTTTAAATCAGCTCGGGCTCGAGAGGTATTATATTGTCGCTGGAAGTTGTACGAACCGTGATGCAATAATCAGAGGCTGGTTCGACCGCGGGTGGTGGAGTCGTCCGAAAGTCGCCGTGGCTCGCTTCCCCTTGTGCGGAGTTGGTTTAGTAAGGCCGTAAGTGCAAGCTCAGCTACCACCCGTGACGACACACCGGGTATGTTCGAACAAGTGGTCGTAGTCGCATTCGCCGTGATATCGTCACACTCTGACGCAGCGTTGTGGCAGAAAAAGGTGAGTTTCCAGGTCCGAGTGGCTCCTATCGGATCTACTTTATATTTTCTTCTGTAGGTCTATTGGTATCTCCTCGCTTTGGCAGCGACGAGCCTAGTGTGCGTTTGTGTTGTGCCCCCCGGAGTAAGTAGTTGAATTAGTCCGGTCCCTTCACTCTCTGGATCCACATCCTTCATCAGCTTCTCTCGATTGTATCACTCCCTTTTCTCCATTAGCGAGTAGAGGAAGTCCCCCTTATCTTATCGTATGCGCCCTTCCTCGTGAGGAGCGGCCTTGTCTTCGGAAATGGAATCGTTTCAGTCTTATATGCAACTGATCTTATTAGGGCATATCTTAGGGGGGTGGGGCATAGCTGCCCCAACAGGAGTAACTGATCTTATTAGGGCACGTCTTAGGGGGTGAGGCATAGCCGCCCCAACAGGTGAAACTGATCTTATTAGGGCACGTCTTAGGGGGGTGAGGCATAGCCGCCCCAACAGGAGTAACTGATCTTATTAGAAGATAACTTAGGGGGTGTAGCATAGCCGCCCCAACAGGAGTAACGGACCTTCTTAGAGCATATCTTAGGGGGTGTGGCATAGCCGCCCCAACAGCAGTAACGGATCTTCTTAGAGCATATCTTTGGGGGTGTGGCATAGCCGCCCCAACAGGAGTAGTAGTAGTAGTCTATGATAGTACTCAATTGATAGCATTGGCTTATTTCATACTGTATTATTATTATCCAGTCTCCTGCTGCTGCCGAGTCGAGGGGTCTATTCGGAATAGACTCGAGGAGGAATGGACCATTCCTCCTCGAGTCGTCTATTGATTATATGCACCCTGATAATGGTGGTGGCTGTATCATCAAATAATTACGACTTACTCATTCGTATTATCAACTCTTGTCGTCTGAAAATACATAAGTCATTCAATAGAAGAGTCTATCGCCATGCTCATCTTAGACGGGTTCGAAGCAGACGGGAGTTATTGCACTACTGGGTTCTGTACCGAGACGAATATGTGATTTCTTTATGCTACGCTGGCCCTCCATTATAGCCACTGCTCTAGCTTACCGAAACCTGGTCTTAGTGGCATTCCCTATGAGTCTAGGCTACTACCTCTCTCTGGTAATCTCCAGTACTACCTATAAGCCTCTATCAGCTTCCTCAGGTCTTCTCATGCTACCGTCTGACTATGTACTTTGTCTATGTGGTAACCTATCTCAGCTACTCCTTCCCTTTGACTACGCTGCTGCTATTTCCGTTCACCGTCATTGTTGGTCCGAAATATCTGAGTGAGTCTACTCTCGGTTTTCGAACTTGGTTCTATCCCACTGTTCAGGATGGGTTTTTTTGCTCCTTGGATGGAGCACTTTAATTTATATCGTCATCAGCGGGCTCATAGGAATGTATACGGTCAACACAGTCACGCAGGTGAGAGACCCAACTATCTCATTCAGATAGAGAGCCGATCAGACCGTATTTGGAGTTAATGCCTCAGTGTCTTTCCGTCAGATCCGCGTACCTAGTGTTCTAGCCTGGAGGTTCGATCACTTTGGTCAGCGCTCCCGCAGGAGGTCTAGCAGGAAACGCGAGCATGTTGAGAAGCGACCGCATACTAGAATAACAACGCCGGCACCGATCAGGCGGAAAGCTGTTGCTTCGTTGAAGTCCGAGGTGCGGCCCATCATTCTTGACAAGCCCTTTGAAGGGGATCAGAGAGGTCGTTTGGGGTCGTTGACGTCGCAGTCGACAATAGCATCAGTTGGTCGAAGTCAGAGTCCGGATCGCTCCACGCCTGTTGAGAGTCCTAGCTGAGGCCATTAGAGAGGAGCCCATTGCACTTTTTTGTTTGTCATACTCGCGATTACTCCCCGTTTGCCGATTATTCGTACCATATTTCGTTCAGTTCATCTAGCTACTGACCTCAGTTTAGTGATGCTTCTGAGCGCCTATGACAGTGCGTCGAGCGTGAGCAGCAGTTCTCTCTCTGACGATGATAATAAAAAACGAGAACTACCATCTCCTTTCGAGGATGATGGTGATGATGCTGGAGAAATCTCACTGGAACACGTGAATAAGAGGATAAGACGGATACCTCACATCGAAGGGAATTATGCTTGTCAGCATGATTGGCGGTTGCTTATTCATAACGAGTATCACAAGGTACGATCTTCTTACCGTGTCAATCGACTGAAGCAGGGGAGGACCCAGTGACAGTCCTACAGCAGAGCGCACTACAACAAGCCGCGAAGCTTTGGCCTGGTCGGGAGTGGGAAAAGATGGCAAACGAGAGTGTTCATTGCAGTTTATCCCGGACTGTTATGTTGAAGTAAGTCACAAGAGCTGTGAAAAGATAGGAATGACGACAATCGAGAGAAAAATGATAACATGTCAAGTGAATGATCAAAACGCGAGAGTCAAAGGAGAGCATAAATAACCAAATTACAGAGTAGCAGTGAGAACAGTGAGAAGTAGTTGAGACAAGGGAAATGCTGTGACACGAAGCAGACAGAAGAGAGAGAACAGCTCATTGAGAACTAAGACAGTGATGGAACCGAGGATGCATCCTCATCCGTTGTTTGTATTCCAGGCATCACCTTATAGCCCCGTTCAAGCGGAAGATAGCAGATCAGCTTCGATGCAAGCCTCAGTTCACTATGTCAGCGAAGGGCTCGGGAGATCGAACTACTGCTTGATATCGCATCAGGTACGTATCACCGTCAAACGTGGAGCTTTTCCTATCAGAAGACAGGACTACGGCCTTCCTAGCGTCCCCGATAGTGGAGCCCGGACCGGTAGGCTACTTCATATCTCCTCTGGCCTCCTCTGTACAGTCTTAGGTCGTCACGATGATACGTGCTGTAGATGAGATAATGTGCGAATTCGACTTGGAAAAGTTTTACCAGCCTCCGAAGGCCCACTTATCCTTAGCATGGACAACCATAGATGTCGAGGTGAGTTTGTTACGTGTTCATAATTACTTACAATTCAGTGGGAGTCATCAAGACGAGGCTCGAGAGAATTCCTATAATCTACTTCTCGAGAATACTCAAAGCTTGACAATTTCCTCACTCAGGGATTATGTCAGAAGGTTGAGAGCCTCGCAGAAGGTGAGCAGCACTTCAAACTGCCATCCATGAGCATCCCGGCTAACGGTCTCCTCGGGATTGACGTTGTTTCGGCTGTTCTGCGAATCGGCAAGGAGAACACTATTATTCCTCTGAGTGATTAATAACGGGATTGGTTTCCCATTCGAAGGTTGAGTTTTGTTGGTCTGCATGAGTGGAGGGAGCGACAGAACGACACAGTGTTCGGGAGTTTAAAGATCAAAACTGACGAAAGCATCGTTATAATACAACTCAAACGATAGCTGGGGATCGAAGAATTTCCTACTACCCTCAGGATAGTATCCTGCATAGTCCGGTTCGTACGCGATCAGACATCCTTTGAATATTTCCAGAGATTGATCAAGGACGTACTTGGTGATGGTGATTACGTAATGGACTGGTTGAAGGTTGGCCAAGTCATACTTAACGAAAGTGCCAACCAAGTTACACCAATCCTGTGACATCTTCTCCTTGATTGACCGTTCTTTGTGTATAGAATGATCATAGGCGACTGGTGGCCTGGACGTGAACTCCGTCCATTAGTCTCAGATCGTCCATGAAAGATGAACGCATACAGCAGCACAAGTAATACTGCCAATCATCAGTCAGTTCGGGTCCAAATCAGGTCTAGGCCGCACCATATGGTTGTGCGGAATCTTGTTTATTCATAGCGTTTTACGTGAAGTACGTGAGTTGATCGAATCAGCAACACCGTGTTGCACCTCCGTCCTCACACTCCTACGTCATAAGTGTATCCGAGTCTGCGATGAGAACCATGTTACTTCTGGTATTGATGTGCGGATTTGCCTCTCTGGTTGGTGGCTCGGTGAGACATGTTTCGGCCCCGCAGGGTTGTACCGGTGTTCGCAAGCCTAGCTCTTCACAGTTCTGTGCTGTAGGCACTATAGACACAGATGCATCCAAGGTGAATATAACCATCTACATCTTCGATATTGACGATCCCTCTAAGTCCGTATATTTCCATATCCAATTGGCCGCCAATGGTTCGGAGCCGGCCGGCCTCAATATCACTGGTGGGGGCATCGCTAAGGTCAATATTGTGCAGGTGGTGAAAGGGATGCTTTTCGTCCCTATAAGACTAAGCGCTGAAACTGTAGCAGGTGGTAGGGGGCACTACGACCCTTCAACTGGTAGATGGACTGCTGACATCACAGTGATTGCGGATGCTGACTTCATGGTTTCTGGTGAGTCAGATCTTTATATGAGGATGGGCAATATTGTCAAGACCAATATGAGTGAGGACCACGACTTCAGGTTGCTTACTCAGCTCGAGGGACGTACTGGAGACAAGTTTCGTGGCATGGACGTGGGCCTCGAACTTAAGTTGCGTACTTTGGAAAGTGACCTCTACACTTGGGAGATCTTTTGCAAGGATAAATATCATGTCTGGCTTTTTCCCATAGCCGATATTACAAACTGGCATTATTATATTTGGAATACGTTCAATCTCTCCAAATGAGATCCACAGCAACCGCTGGCATCTACAAATCTTGTGCCTGGTCAGAGAAGTGGTTTTCTACATCATTTTGGCTGACCATCGTTTATACAGTACATCGCCTACATTTGCCGTTTCGACGAGCTTGTAGAACTACCTCATGGGCTGTTTGGAAAAGTCTTATTGTTCCCGTCAATGACGAGTCGTCATGATGCATCGAACGCTCATTCGTTCTCAAGAAAGCTGATGCTATCGTGCTGTCTCCTATTCCTATGCTGCACCTGAATATTGCCAGTTGAACGCGTACGCATCTTCTTGACCCTATGATAATTTACGTGCACTATTAACTATCATTTTTATTTCTGGTTCTACGCTCGAATTACTTGAGCTCTCTTATTGCGTCCGATCGTCAGTCCGTACTTACATCTTTCCCCTATGTCTAGACTAGACGGTCTAGTGTTGCCAGTCGGATTCGGGCGGAGCGGACACGCACGTTACCCCCACCGCCATACGGAGGATCACAACAACAACATTCACCCTGATCGGGCACTGTCGAGTTCTAAGCCGTTATGAACTTGAACTGGCAGCTCAACTTCGTGGTGTTATTTACAACACTCGTTATCTTCAAGTCTACTTTCATACTCCTGTTACTTAGAACCTTTGAAAGATTTGAGAGATCCTTCTGTGGAAGGTTGGGATTAAAATATACAACCACATCAATATTGTTACTACCCCTGATCAAGGCTCGAAGAGTCGATGCCTGGTTCTGTGTGAAGTGGAGGGAATCTATAGGACTTTATAGCGGAACCATTGCTAACCATCGGTGTGATTCTTCGATGCTCAATGATTTGCCAGGGAGTTACCCATCCTAATGCTTGCTCTTTTGATAATGTTGGATCTTAGTGACTGCAAGCTGTTACAATGCGGTCGAACGGTGAATCCAAAGTGTGAATATCTGAGCGAGGCTGGGCTCGTTAGACCTGGCGTTTTTTGAGCTTTGTTGGAACAGCTCTAACTCTGTATCGATAATACAGAGTTTTAGACTTTTCTTGGCTGCGTGTTAACTTACACAGTGATCCTGCGCTATCTCCCATCGATAACTTGTTCGCTTTGGGCTCTTGGTTTTTATTCCATTCGGTGATGAAAGGTTTGATATTATAATACGCCGCAAGGTGAAAGTATGGGAATCCTCGTTGATAGCCCGGAGGAGGGCTGTTAGCCAAGATCTCTAATATGTCTCTGCCTTTACTGGTGTCCTTGGCCAGTTCGGTTCGCCTCTCTGTGCCCCCTTCTTTCGTTTTGTACACAGGTTGATCTGCTTATACCTAGGTACGACTATGTTGTTTCGAAAATAATGTTTCTCATTCCCAGTCGTCAAAGGAGTCACGAAGTAAATACAACGAAGAGAGAATCGCCACAGTTCAGAGAGCAATACCAAGATCCCGTAAGTCGGACTCGGACCTGATGGGGAGCGCCAAGTAGGGTGTGATCTTGTGGTGGATGATAAACACAATGATGAGCCGTCCCAGACGAGCTCCAGGAGAGGCTCTCCTTTCCCCCCATCTTTCTTTCCTTTTTCTCCTCTCCTTACCTGAACTCGCTGAGATCGCTGGTCTTAGCGCGGCGACGTCATAGCTGTAGGGGCCGCGGAGAGTTCCGAGGATGGAAGGGACGCGAAGGAGATCAAATCGATAATGGAACGGGCAGCTATTCAATGCTCAGCACTGGTAAAACTGCATCACAAATACATCAGGACTAGACACTTCAGTCGTCAACATCGGACAAGATAGTTCATGGCTACTTTGCGAAGCAGCTTGGCGTAGTGGATAGTGTGGTGGACTCGTAACCCAAAGGTCCATCGATCGAAATAAGGAGATGCTACTTTAGTACCAAATTTTATAGATAACAATCTTGCATACTTGGAATTACTTGTCCGCGCTGCCGCTGAGGCAGCTAGGTGGTGGCAGAGACGGGAGACGGGAAAATATTACAGTGCTCAAAATCGATACCATGCATAAGAGAAATTCCTTTGTATTATAGGAATTCTATTATTATATGGGAATTTTATATTATACAATCATTGAACTATAGTTCGTTTATTGTGTTAATGAACTCAAGTGAGTGGTATGAGTTCGATACATTGTTCATTATCATCAGTTGCCCATTCACATATTAGTGGCGATTCCCCTCCTATACCGCTACTAGTGTTATATATATATGGCTTGGTTCACTTACGTGCCTCACAATGTATTCTACGTCTTCTCGCACTTCTATGCTGAGGAGCTCGCGGCCATGCTGATCACCTTTGCCATAGGTCTATGCTTGGTCACGGCTAATCATGTGAGCGATTTGTAGAGGAAAAATTTTTACATGTTATTTTCAGATGCTCTGTGAAACTGATTTGTTCTGGTGGACAGTAATTGGCACTATGGTTTCGCTAGGCTGTGCAGCTCTTTATAAAATGTAGGGGTTTTAAGTGTGGGCAAAATTTTGGGAATTTTTTTACCACTTTTACTCGAAGTTTTTGAGAATGTAGTACAATCTGGGAAAATATGCAAATTGTCAACTGCATGTGTCCGTGGCAGTATTAAAAATTTCGAGGAAATTTCGGGAAATTCTTGTTGATTTTTTCCTCATTTCTACCTCAATTCTTATGTTGATGAGGTAACTTCTGAGCTCAGCTGAGGAAACCGAATATATATTCCTACAGGGCGATCGATCTTTATTTTCAGAGGAATAATGTGCAACCCGCGATTTGCCAAAGCACCCGAGCGTGACGAGCCTTCAGTTCTGGAGCCCGAAGACTATTCTAGGTAGGATGTGCCCGAGGGGTGGTATGAAAAACGATATTTTCCAGGTTTGGCGCACCAACACAAGTTCATCGCGACGTGAGGCTCGATGGGACATCTTTTAGAGATTCAGATGGTCGGAGAGTTCACCTTAGAGGAATTAACGTTGGAGGCATGTCTAAGATGCCGATTGGTAATAGTGAGTTTTTACAGTAATGAGAAGTAACGTTCTTGAGGAAATTTTAACTAGGAGCAGCTTGTGAATCGATCGAAATTGTTATTGTGGTGATGTTAGTAGTCGGAGGCGAGCTGGAAAATTTATTGAGAAAATATACCAGAAACGTTAGTCACATTTTAGGAGTAGGTTCTTATTTAGTAGTATTATACATATATAAATTTACAGAGGATATGTAGTGTTGATTAGACATGTGCCTTACTGCGGAGCTTAGAACTAGGTCTTCGTGACGGAGACGCCGAGCTCGCTTAGTTTGCATTTTTTGATTGAAAAATGGGAAATAGTGATGAGCCATACATCTCGAATTTCACACTAAAATCTAACCTCTCCCCGGGTGGGACTTTATTCCGTCAAAAATTGTTTTCTCACAAATTTTTTGAAGCTGTGCTCAAGTTCGAACTTGTGTGTTCTCTCGAGTGTGTTGTCGCAGTTTTGGTCGATGTATTATATATACATTGGAGTTTCACCACCCTAGTGATATGAAAAACATATTTCACGACCACGGCATATCACCGTGAATATCGCGTTTTTCACCGAGTATCACTTCGCCACTTTACGTGAAACGGGTTGTGAAACTCCAATATAGTATTGATTAGATATACTTGGAAATGTTGAATATATGAGTTTATATCAGGTAGCAGCAGTAGCCAGAGTAGCATACCCTCGGATGGAGGAGCTACTTTCGTGGGCCGACCGTTCCCATTGGAAGATGCTGATATTCATTTGCAAAGACTCCGGGCTTGGGGATTGACATTCGTAATAATATGGGCGCGGTTGCGGTAAAAATGTGTGTGAATTTTATTTTGGTATATATTGTAGTTTTACTCGTTTTACGCGAAGTGGCGTAAAACTCTGTGAAAAAGGCGATATTCGTGGTGATATGCAGTAGTCGTGAAATATGGTTTTCACTAGTGTTCTTCATATCACTAGGGTGGTGAAACTCCAATGATAGTTAACAACTTGTCGTTATTATAGAGGTGTTCACTGTTGTCTATGCGATATAGTCTCAGATCCATTCTTATTGATCTCAGAATGCAATACACAGTTTAATTCTTGTGCATCAAACGCGCTAGTGCAAGGAACAGAATTGATAACATATTTTTTTCGGGGTATATTTATTTTACATATTATGGAATTTCACCCGTTTTACGCGAAGTGGCGTAAAAGTCTGTGAAAAACGCGATATTCGCGGTGATATGTAGTAGTCGTGAAATATATTTTTCACCAGTGTTTTTCATATCACTAGGGTGGTGAAACTTCATTTGTAGTTGCGATTCATCGTTACATGGGAAGCCCTTGAGCCTCGAAGACCAGGAGAGTATGATTATGAATATATTCAATATGTCGTTGATATCATCCGGAAGTGTGAAGAGTAAGTTAAATGGCTGGTGTATTGGACTTGTTATTGCTCATTTTATAGGTATGGAATAAGTGTGCTTATTGATCCGCATCAAGATGTAAGATAGTGCAGTTTTACGCGTTTTACGTGAAAAATTTCTGCAGAAATTCTTGTGCATCAAACGCGCTACTTCAAGGGTCAGAATTGATAACATATTTATTTTTTTCGGGGTATATCTTATTTTACATATAATGGAGTTTCACAATTACCCGTTTTACGTGAAGTGGCATCGTAAAACTCGGTGAAAAACGCGATATTCGCAGCTTGTGGTGGTCACGAGGTATGTTTTTCACTAGTGTTTTTCATATCACTAGGTTGGTGAAACTCCAGTGGAGTTTTACGCGTTTTACGTGAAAAACGCGATTTTTGTGATATGAAGTGAATCGCCACACATACTGTTTACATGCGTTTTTTGCAAAGTGAAATATGGAATATGTTTTTTTCTAGTGTTTTTCATATCTCTGGTGAAACTACCAGTGTTGGAGGAGTATATGTTCGCTTTCCTCAGCTGAGCTCGGGAGTTCCAAAAGCTAATTATAGGAGTTTATACATGAATTCGGGTAGAAATGTTCCGAAATTAGTAAGAATTTCCGGAAATTTTCTGAAAATTTTACTCGACTATATGCATATTTTCCCAGTGAGAAAAAAACGAGCTGATGTGAGTATTGAAATTTTATGGTAGGCTTGGTCGAGGTGGACGGGAGGGGACGGAGCACCGAGGTGGACTTTGGAGAAAATAGGATTTGATCCTGAAAAGCTATCCGAGTCGGGAGCGTGTTTTCTACATCAACGTCATTTGGAAGATGAAAGCGATCCTGAGGGGTAGTATGATGCTCTTATGGTGTGGTATTATGGAATTTGGAGATTTTTCCGGAAAATTTTCGTGGTATGCTATGGAATTTGTGATTTTTTTTTGGAAAATTCTTATGGAGTGGTATGGAATGTAGAGATTTTTCTAGAAAATTCTCATGGTGTGGTATTATGGGATTTATTTTCAGAATTTTTCCGAAAATTTTCATGGTGTGGTATGGAATTTGGAGATTTTTTCCGGAAAATTTCAATGGTGTGGTATTATGGATTTTTTTCTTTAGATTTTTCCCGAAAATGTCGTGGCCGGTTAATAATCTGTTTTATCCGGCTGCAACGATGTGGGCCATATTCTTTGCTGGGGAGGATTATGCCCCTAATACTAAGATTGGTAAGAATCTTAGGTTCCAGCGTGGAAGATACGGAATAGGTCCGATTTGTGTCACAGATAATGAGAATGCTGGAGTGTATCTCCGTCGTCATTATTATAACGCTGTGAGTGCTCTGGCTGAGGCACTTCGAGAGGAGAAGAATGTTTTGGGATTTGAGACTCTGAATGAGCCGAATATGGGATGGATTGGTCGGAGCCTGCCCTTGGAAAAGTAGTATAGGAAAATATGCATATGGTAAAATATGTGTTTTTTATGGGAAAATTTTCCTGGTTTTTGTATATTTGTACACGTATGGTGCCCATATAAGTTTTATGAAGAAAATTTAGGAGAAATTTTGTGTAGCGTCGGAATTTCCTGAGTTCAGCTAAGGAAAGTGAGCATATATTCCCCTAACACTGGGTAGTATGTTGATCTATGTTTGTCGTAATAAGTGGAAAAATAAATCACAAAAATTCATAATTTTATGATGAGAATTCGAAACGGTAGGTTATATTTTCTGGACTAGTCGCGAAATATATGTGTACCGTTTTGGTTAATGATAAAGTGGAGTTTCACCCTAGTGATATGAAAAACACTAGTGGAAAAAGAAATTTCATATTTCGACTGTGTTATCGGTCGCGGAAACATCGAGGACTTCACGTTAAACGGGTCGTGAAATTTTAGTATTTTTTTGTAAATGATGAAAAACATTTTTGTTCAGGTTTAACGCCCCCCAACCGTTGGGATATGTGATGAGCCCGTGGGAGACCATTCAGCTTGCAAACGGGAAATCGCTGAGTTTACCAAAATACGGCGATAATTTCAAATATTTAGGACATTTTGTAAGAAGTTATTGAGATCATAGGTGAAATTGTTATGTGCAGAGGCGAAATGAAAAACATGTTAAAGTGTTTTTGCCGGGGTGTAAGGATCCTTGGTTTGAAAATGGAGTTTGGGACTATGATGATGATGGCGAAATGAGGCTCTTGAAAAGGAGGTATTTTGACTTGAAAACTGAGGAAGATTTTCAAGGTAATAAATGTGTGGCAAATATTAACGAAAATTATGGGAAAAAAGAGTTGTTGAGGAAGTGCTGGTTGAAGGCTTTCGGAGGACTAGAACTCGATACAGGACCGGACATAGTGATTCGATAGTTAGTGGAGGGTGAGTGCAGACAGATCAAATAGATCCGAACGAAGAATTGAACGGAAAAAAGGTACGGAAATTAGCAGATAAAAATAACAGCGTTGGTTTTGTTTTAAAAGATATCGCTCAAAAATTATGGTCAAAATTGTTTTCGCGCATTTTCTGAAAACTGAGAAGTACTGTTTTTGGTAGTGTTGGAGGAGTATATGTTTGCTTACTCAACTGAGAAGTACTGTTTTCGGTAGTGTTGGAGGAGTATATGTTTGCTTGCTCAACTGAGAAGTACTGTTTTTGGTAGTGTTGGAGGAGTATATGTTTGCTTGCTCAACTGAGAAGTACTGTTTTCGGTAGTGTTGGAGGAATATAGGTGAAACATGATAGTTGACTTAATGCACATTTTCCCAACATTTACTTTTCCCGACTGGTCATGTTTCAGCGCGTTATATGCGGCCTTTCTGGAGGGACTTCGCCAGAGCTGTGACATCTAAAATGCCCGATGCGATAATCTTTCTAGGTGAGTTGGAATCTTTCTGGGTGCAGTGTTGGAGGAAAATAAATTCGTTTTCCTCAGCTGGGGAGTGTTGAGAAAGTTGCAGAATTTCTTACCAAAATTTCCGCGAAATTTCCATATTGTCTCCAACACAAGTGGTTGAGCATGTGCATATTATTGGAGTATCACTCTAGTGATATGAAAAACATATTTCGCGACTACTGCATATGACCGCGTTTTACGCCACTTCACGTAAAACGGGTTGTGAAACTCCAATATTACTACTCGCTTTTATTGTATTGTAGGACCGACTATGGACATGGAATGGCCGAAGTTGCATGTTGCGACTAAAGATGATATACCTCAAGATACTCGAATAGTATGGGCGCCGCATTGGTAAGGAACGTCGGTGGTGGAAATATTGCGGGTGTAAATATGTGTGTTTTGTATTTCGGAATTGATGATAGAGTGGAGTTTCACCACCTTAGTGATATGGAAAATATATTTCACGACTACTGCATATCAGCGCGAATAAAATCGCGTTTTTCACAGAGTATTACTTGGCCACTTTTTTGAAACTCCAAAGTTGGTTTGAATGTCTAGGTACGACGGACCAACTTTACAGTATTCAACATACCGCACATGGATTGGATGCGAAATTGCAACTAGCGGGCTGAAGGTAGCTGAGGAAGGCGTATAAAAAGTTGATATTTGTTGTTGAATCAGTTCGATGTCGGTCCGGGAGTAGCGCCCAATACTCATAAGAGAAGTCTTAGGAATTTGAAGGCTAGTGGAGAGGAAGTGGGCCCGACGTTACTCGGCGAGGTTGGAATTCCCTGGTGCGGCAATTATGGTAATAAGAAGCAGCGTTTTATTGATGGAGTTTAACCACCCTAGTGATGTGGAAAACTGCATATCGCAGCGAATATCGCGTTTTCCACGGAGTTTTACGCCACTTTACGTACGGGTTGTGAAACTCGGATAGTAAGTTTGACATCTGTGTGGGAAATTATGCACATATGTTGGTGACAATATGTAAATTCTGAGAGGAAATTTCGGGAAATTATTTTGGTTTCTGTGCTCTTTTATGCTGATTTGTATATGAATTTGTATAATTAGTTTTGGAAACTCCTAAACTCAGCTGAGGAAAGCGAACATATATTCCTCCTCCAACACTACTCATCTGATGGTTATATATGAGGTCGTGTCTAGAGTATATTATTTTCATATAGTAAATATCATATAAAATCTATAGTGAGGGAGTTTCACCCTAGTGATGTCAAAAACACATATAGTATAGGGTCAACCGCATGGGTGAAACTCCAATGTAATTGTATGATAGATTTAATCTTACTTATGATTGGCTAAAGTGTGATGATGTTTAGTATTATACAGTTGCACGCATGCGCATAGGGGTTATAGATTTTATAGTTTTTTTTGTGAGAGTTGATGATCAGGTTCAACCGATAGAGCTATGAATGACACTATGGAAGCAGTTGAGAGCACGGCTCTGCAAGCTGTGACGGTTTGGAACTACGTCCCTTATAATACTAAAGAAGAACAGGTAATAACGAGGAAATAGGACTATCATGATTTTGAGTAGTAAAGTGAGTTCATAGTACACACGATGGAGAAAAATTTTTCTGAAATTTTATCACTCGGTGAATTTACTACAGCATGGGGGTATGTCTACTTGTAGATTAGAGGTTATTATGAAAGGGAACAAAATCGGTGTTGGAGGAATATATGTTCGCTTTTCTCAGCTGAGCTCAGGGGTATACCTCACTTATTATAGGAGTTTGGTGGGAATGTACATGACGTAGAAAATTTTCCGAATTTTCTTCAGAAATTCTATTTTTTTCTGCATGTGCATATTTTCTCATACTTAGTGAATGGGAGAGTTTTCCAATTTGGAAAAATATGCACGTGTTTGTGACAAGGTGAAAATTTTGAGGATATTTTTTTCCAATTTCTTGGTGGGCTTTGTCGAGTTCTAGACTGACTTTTATAATATGTGAGCAAACTCCCGAGTTCAGCTGAGGCGAGCGAAGATATGATACCGTAGTGGAGTTTCTTTCTCTGTGTTAGGACGGCTGGAATAAAGAAGATCTTTCTATCTTCACAAGCGAGGCGAATCCCCGTGCTGATAGTAATCGTGGTCCTCACCTAAGGATGCCATCCGTTGTTCGTCCATATGCATTCAAGTGAGTATAACAGTGTAGTTATCCTTGCATATGGTGGTGTAATACTCGATATTTGCGGTATGCAATAGTAGTGAAATTTAACGGATGAAAGCCCAGTGTTTGCTCTTTGTTAGGCTTGCTGGTAAACCTGTGTCGGCGCGTTTTGACGGTTTACATGATGATAAGTGTTTCATCATGAGATTTGAAGAGGACCCATTGGCAAGTAATATGTTAACTTGGAGGGGAATTATTATTATGTGTATTGTGTCAGGGACGACCACATCGGAGATCTTCGTGCCGCTGGGTGTACATTATCCTAGAGGAGTTGATATTGAAGTAAAAAGGTTTGCTAGGCGGAGCGAAGCTGAAGTGTTTAAAAAATATTAGATAAAATCGTATACGAATCAGGGTAGAAGTGTAGTGAAATTGAGAAAGTGTACTGTATTGTCATCAAGAAGCGTAGTTCAGCATGTGCAGCCTCCTCAGTCGCTGTCTGCGTAAACTATTCCTATAACGAGGGGGAATGATATTTTTATTTGTACGCTCATGATCAGTATGATTATTATCCAAAGAGTCGGCGCTTATCGTTTTCATTGTTGTTGTCTTTTGTAAGGTATCAGATGGACATTATAAATTGGACAAGGCGCGTCAAACTTTGACATTTACTCACAACCCTCAGGTGAGTGTGGCATGGTGGTTTTGGAATAAAAGTGGTTTGTTTTTGTCAGGTGGCTTCTCATTGGCTATGCATTCGTCATAGACCATGTGAGTACAGCGCCGCACATTCGAGTCGTATGCCGTCATCCAAGTTCCTCGCTACTTCCCCTATGTTGGAGGCTCGAGCCTAAGTGAACCTTGTCGCGGTATAATAGCATTAGATAGATGGAGGCGTCCATTTTGTTCGCTCTTTCCTGTGTTGTGGGCTAGGAGTTGGTCCTCAGCAGTTCCTATGGATTGAGTATTTCTTGTTTACGGCGAAGGATGCGATTTCTTTGTCGATATTGTTATTGATGGAAATCTTTTTGCCTTTGCAATTCGAGTGGCGCCAATTTAGTTACTTGTTCTTCATACTGTGCCTCTACACTTATAGGGTTCTTTCAGCAAAGGTTGAGGAATCCTGTGAGTGTTTATATGATTGATACCATCATTTGGATGTATATCGGTTGTTCGCCAATACTAACATCTACGAGGTTCCTCACATAGTAGATATGTTCCTATAGTGTGTTAGTAGTGTCGGTGATGGTGCACGGTCCTGTTGTGTTTTGTGGGTAAATGGTACGGTCCCAGGTTGACGAACAGTCTTGGAATCAATGTTTGGGTCCGTCAACTGAGTTTGCTCTCTACATTATGGAAGTTTACACACTACTTGGGGAGGAAGTCCATAAAAACCAAAATGAATTTCCTCAGAGTGTCCTCTGCATATTTTCCCACCAGTTGTCTGACTGGCTTACCGCATGCTGGTGAGGACGACAACGCGTGGTAATCGTGAGTTGCCGCGACCTAGGCGCGCCCATTAAACGTGGCTTAATGTGTTCATAAGGACTCTTTGACGAGAATTGTGATGCAGTCGGGCCCAGTTTTTGGCTGGAGTGTGGTGCAGCATCGACCGTATGTAGATATTATGTTCTGAAATTGCGTGTTCGCCCACCACCGATATGGAAAATGAGGGAGATAAGGTGAGGAGAGTGGGTAGTCATGAATCATGGTTTCGACTTTCCAATCTCCATCATGACTCATGATGGAGATTGGGATTTTCGTTTATTGTGGGTGTGTAGCTCAGTGGTAGAGCGGCTGACTGCAGATCAGCAGGTCCTCGGTTCAAATCCGGGCGCGCCCTCTTGTCCGCTCTTTTTCTATGCCGCTACTCTAAGGTATGTGTTGGTACAATCATCAGGGGCACCTATGCCACTACTCTTAAGATATGTGTTAGTACAATCAATTCCATCGGGGGCACCTATGCCACTACTCTTAAGATATGTGTTGGTACAATCAATTCCATCAGGGGGCACCTATGCCACTACTCTTAAGATATGTGTTGGTACAATCAATTCCATCAGGGGGCACCTATGACACTACTCTTAAGATATGTCTTAGTACGATCCATCAAAGAGACACCTTCACGATCACAATTCCGCATGCCCACTCAAAATTGATAGTACGTACTGATTTTACGCTCGTATCTTGGAGTAGTGAATGTATAGATATTAGTGGGATTGGTGTACTACACGCGAAATAGGTCTCTACAAGGTGTGATATTCTGTTGATGTATACAGCCCCGCAGTCGACTCTGCTGCAGAAGGAATTTCGCCAGGAGTTCTCCCCTGCCTGACGATTGCCAAATCCTTTCGACGTTCGATATCATATGAATTGAGCGATATGGTTTGGCAAACACCCCGCGGGCTGGAGGGGATTGGGATGGGCTCTCGGCGCCAGGTCTAGGGCGAGCTCCGAGCTTCCGCTCAACCTGTGATTTTCCAGAGCGAATCTTGCGCGGTATCCTGGAATCTTCGTTGTCCTTGATATTTGTGAGTGTATTACGTGGATGACCCTCATCATCGTTGTCCAGCAGTTCCAGGTAACCCGCTGACCTCCTACTTTCCCATCATCATCATGTGAGGGTGACCTTGACTCCAACCAGCGAGGATAGGACAGGGAGTCAGCATCTTTCCACATGTAGATGACGGATTTATTGCGAAGGGCACTGACGATGAAACTCGATATGACTATAATATGACTATCGTATTTAACCGAAGGTCTCCTCCGTTGGCATGTCAGCCGCGATGAGCAACCGCTAGCTACCTAATCAAGTACCTGCGGAGCGCTGGGTTGAGACTTGCCTACAATGATGGCATCATCCAGCGCCGCTGGACCAGCGGGTGTTGTGATACGGTGTGTTCATACTCCGTCGTGTGTTAACCTAGTTTTCGATGGCTTCCTATTGTGTTCGACCCAGGATTTTCTTGCAAGGGAAATGTCTAATGAGTCGGTGGCACCTACTGGGGATCATTTGTTATTGTCTCTCCCATTTTCCAACTCGGCGGAAGTTATCCTTGAAACCTGAATGATAGGAAGGTAGAAGTAATTCGTCCTTGTCAGATTCACATTGTTATACCGTCATTTCACGCTCATACGGGGCTTTCGAACAATCGGGCTACTTCTTGCAACATCACTTGCGTCTTCCAAGTTCACCTCAAGGCCACCTTCGAGGTCAGCACTGAGAACTAAGCCTTCTCCAAGCGACCTCCCACCAGGCTCTTACACCTCCTATTGGGTGGAACCCAGCCTTGGGAATATCACTTCGGCCATTATAAAAGTGACTTATTCTGGTAAGACGCCATCCGCCCGGATCTCTTTCTATAGTGGGCTTGACCGTACACGCTTAGAGTTCGAACCTTACGAGCTGAGTCCGCGGCGTTTGATGAAATCAACCAGATCTAGTGGTGTCCGAAAGTGCTATTATTCATATTCCTGGTGGACTCGACTGCTATTGAGTTTCATCTCGACAAGAATGGGTACCGAACTAGACGCCTACATGTACAGTGTCTTGTTGTGCACGGAGAATGCACTCGTAAAGAATAAATTGAAGTTGACGCTCTACTTGGCTGCTCGAGTAAGAGAGGCTCAACCTTTCGCAAGTCTCAAATCTCTGGTGCACCTTACCCTTGACACTACTTGGCGTCAAACTGCAACATCTGGAGAGAGTGATGACCCAGCACCCTGTTGCTCTAACACTCCTGAGCCACGTAGTGATCCACCGTGTGTTAAACAATCGAAGATAATCCCTGACAGATCTGTCGGAGATACTCAACCGTTTGCTAAGCGACGGAAGATGACTTCTGACAGACCTGCTGAAGTTGATGAACTACTTGCTAATCGACCAGATATGACTAATGTTACCCCTCTCAAAGATGGATACTACTCTTCTTCGGTCGCGAGCATAGATGTTAATACCTGCGACGATGGGCATCAGTATGTCCTGGCAATCTTGATCACGAGCGATCTGGAATTCTTGACCCTAGAGAACATCTCGTTGATCCCGACTGAGGATCATTCAGCGACCGGTTGTTTCAGGCTGGCAGGAATGGAAAGTGAGAGAGTTCGTATCTGTCCCCATGGGGATGAGAAGTTGATTTTGAAAGGCATCGACGAAGACAAAATACTAAAGCTCGATCGGAGTTCTTCTACGTAGGTTGTTTTGGGTGTATCCCTTTTGTGATGTATGAAAAGTCTGCTTGTATTCCCTGATCTCCCTCTAATTTTGTCTGTCGATATCATGATTACCCCTCGTTGTGCACGAGGTAAACTTGAGTAGCAGTTTTAATGGACTGGGATTATTCACGCACAATCGTTGATTATTCTCGAAAAATCATTGGTCATTCACGAACAGTCGTTGATCATTTGGAAGCAGTTGTGCGAGCAGTAAGTAGAGCGTTCGCAAACTGAGTTTGCGTTAGTTTGCGTCTCTCTGTTCGGGGTGGTTTCGGAACGACCGGAGGGCTCCCGGCGAATACCGTAGGCGAATACCATCCTCTGTCAACTTGGCCAGTAGCCTCGTGGTGTGTCGCTTTGGGGAGAGTTAAGTTTGTTAGGGGAGTTGTACCTGTGCTTGGAATCCATTAATACTCGTGCGAACAACCATTGTGTCACAATGGGGGGATTCGCGCAGTAACTTGACAGAGCGGTAGACGTTAGACGCATTGCCTTGAAAACTGAGAGCACTCATTAATGCACTGCTGAAAGCGGTCGCTATGCTCCTGTACAGTGTGAAAGCTCTCAGCGCCCGCACAAAACGAGAGCTGCTATACTCGTTGTACCCGCTAGCCAGTACGAATAGATCCTCGGGCACCAAGCCCTGTCTATCAGTGTTTAGTGAATGAAGTGTAGAATCTTTGATACAGGAGAAATAATATCGATCATTCTCGTCATCCACTGATTGCCTGCAGCATATTTGTTTCATCGAGTCCCACCCTTCTGAGCACGGCAATCCTCCTGATGTGGATTATTCTCGCCCTCAATCTACTCAGTAGCGTCAACACCACTGAACATTGCACGAACCTGAGCTCAGCTCTTCTTGTGGTCGGTGTTGATTCTGGTGTTGGTATGGTTGAACCAATGCCTCCTTCTGCGACGCTTCTGGAGCGTCGGTTTCAAGGTTGGCGTATGTCCCCCTGTCGTGTTAGTTAGCTCTTGGTGATGCCTCTGAAAATGTCGTTCTCGTGTAGAGTTATGCTCACCGAGCCATACCCTTTCATCAGTCGCAACACAGAAGCGCATACTCCGCTGAGGATTGTTGGAGTAGTGCAGCCTATCGGCGACTCTTCTCTTGAACTTCCGTCACATAGAGACACATGCGTGTGATGATCTTGACAACATCGTCAAAGACAAGCCAGACAAATACAGCCGAGTCGCTTTCTGTGATGCATTTATGAATGTTCCAGTTAGCATGTCAAGGGTGACACTTGGCAACCCGATCCCAGAGAGTAACACGTTCATATATTCTAAAGTACGATCATGTGCTTCTCCTTGCAACCTCAGGCATCGTCTCCGCCAGGATTCTGGAGTTTCTCAATGATCTTTTGCCGAAAGAATAACGAAGCTGGCTCCTCGGACTTTGCCGAAATTGATTCCCTTGTTCGTGAAATTGCATTCCTTTATCATGAAATTGATTTCCTTATCCGCCGAATAGATTTCTGAGAGGTATAGTTTCGTGAATCCACTGCCCAACCTTCGAACTCAATACGGACCAATCGTCTAACAAAACGCCATGTCTGTGATAACACACCAACATTATTCATCAATTATTGGCTAAGACCTACTACTAATAATCCATATTGGAAAGGTTCAACTGAACCCTCGGTGGTGCATCGACATTCACGACAGCATACGGATGAGTACCGTCAGACAGGATACTGCCAATTTTGATTCAAGAAATTCTGCATGTCAGAATTGAAAATGAGCGAGGCAAAACACATCACAGGCTGATAACAGGCCGTGTTTGAATCTGTGATTGAACAGTTGCCGCTCCTGAGTATCGATGCCCACTAGGGGAAAAATCGCAAGTCGTGAGTGTAACCGTAGGTGATATCTCCCCGAACACATTAACGTCATCAGAAAGCTCATCTATACCAAGATTCCGCATCGCCCTCGCCAGACGTTTATTTCTTCTACGCAAAAGGAATACCACATTTCCGACTAATCCTAATATCAGCACCGCTGTAACGACCCATCTAGAAGCCATGCTCCACGTAGCCCTACTGAGCATCCACTCTACCACCATGCATCGACTCAGACACCAAGCATTAGTGGTACTCTCTGACACTTCCTCTCCTTCCAAAATATGATCTATGTACTCTATACAATGATCAAAGGCCTTGTGCACAACCGGTCTATACTCAGCCGCCCATGATTGCATTTTATCATCTATCGTACCATCCATACAATAAACTTGACTTAACTTAATACGATGAAATTCATCATCATCCTTCGGGATACTTTCAGTGCTGTTATCCGTGTTGATACTGACATTCACACTGTTGGTGAAGCCACTTCCAGTCAAGTTGCCCTGTTCCCATATCAAGAGCTCTTCAGAGACCGTCAAACGGCGTCCACCCACAAGATCATTGCAACCCTCAAGAGTAGTATTCTCACACAGTAGGGCACCCCTACAACCGCCCCTATACCATAGACCAACATAGCCAGCCCAAATAGTGTAATACAGGCCCCGATCACTGAGAGGAACGCCGTGCTCGGACAACAGCTCACTCTGAAGGCGATCGTACAGAGTAAACCAATACGTGTACAGTGCCGCTGATATCGCAAATAATGCAATAAGGATGATAAAAAGTAGCAGGAAAGAAGCCACCAACCAGGGATTGAACCCGCGCCTCTGAATACAGTAGCCAAAGACTCCCAATACCACAAGGAGCAAACCAGACACGAGAAACACCGCCGATGCCCATATTGGCGTCATATGTATCGAATACGATAACTGCTGTAGTGCTTCAGCTATGATTATGCAACCCAGTACCACCGGTATTGTGTTAAGGAGGATATGTACTAGGCTAAGGCCACGTCGGCACTTCTTCATAGTGATAATAACACACAACTGTGAGTCGACAGGCATCATGAACACCCTCAGAGATGTTGCTAGACGTAAAATCTCAAGCCTTAGGAGTATGTGTTGAAGGCTTATAAAAGTCGAAGCACCTATGGTTTTACACTGTAATTGTACTCTCGTCGCAGTAACAGGAGCACCCACGACAAATGATAACTTATCAATGCAATTTCGCCAACACTTCCTCATAAAAGAACATCCACATACGAGTCTTCTAAATTCAAGTGTGTAGGTTAGAGGAAACTCCTTTGATATGATTTTTATTCTCCCGCCAACACTGGAGTCTCGACATTAGTTCCTCAGAGTACTCGAAGTGCCTTGCTACTATCAGGAATTTACTGCGCTGAGTGGCGACCTCAAACTGGCCTCAATGCTTCATCATCGAAAAACTCTTCATTTCGAAATGCGAAAATTTCTACTACTACTACTACTACTACTACTACTACTACTACTACTACTACTACTACTACTACTACCCTGGCCAGAAAACACTCCCATTGATAACACTGGAGCTTATCAAGAGTTCATCTACTTGCATGACATACACACAAAAGGGTACGTATACCCACACATACGCCCCTCGATGAGCAGCGAGGGTACAGTTGCACATTGCATCAACACAGTTTCACGGGCCGCCGTGAAATGAAAAACACTAGTGAAAAATATATTTCACGACTACTGCTTATCGCGTTTTTCACAGAGTATTACTTCGCCACTTCACGTAAAACGGGTAGTTGTGAAACTCCAATATTCCATCGTAATGAATGCCAACAGTCCGCGTGTGGCGAGAAGTAAAGCGGCTGTCGAATTACCACAACACCGATTATTATCTTCATATTATTAATACAATACACAGCGATTAATAAGGGCGATTAGACTTTATAAGCAGCGCTCAATCAGCTCAAGGAGGCGATAGAATAATTGATTTCAATCACGACAGTTATCACGCTCACGAGGGGTTCATAGTAGTAACAAGTGCAGGAGAGTTCCAGTCATAGACAACTGGTCGTTAAAAAAATGTACACGAAGTAACAACACGCGTTTACTGTAGGAAATGATGATGGTGACTGCGACTTAGTTCATATAGTTCTAAAATAGTAGTGCCTCTCGGGCAACTGTTTACACTTTTTCATCAGTGTCAGCATCTGGTGAGTTCCTCAGCCACCAGTTAGAGCCAGATGCTGCTCTGCTGATATAGACGATTTCCTGGTTCTCCTCCATAATCGTTTTCCGACGATAAACAAGATACATAGCATTCAAAGCGACGACAGCAAGCATAACAACAGTTAGTGCCCACATCAGCAACATGTTATAAAAGTTCCAATTTTGCGTTCTATACAAAAGTGTATCGAAACTCGCACACCACGAGTTGATCGCTCCTTCACCAACCGACGATTCCGTCAGTAAAGTTGAGTTTTTGCATCCGTAAAAATGAGGTTGGGTCGCACTTTTTGACTCGTGCTCAGCTCCTTGCTGCCAACGTGTGAAAGCCGCTCCTAGACTGCCTTGTTCTTCACATACCACTTTAGTTAACTTCACAGGATTTTCAAGGCATTTACCATCATCTTGACACTTTCCACCTTCACAGTGTTTCCACATCTCGAAAAATGTTGCCCTCATTTTCACAATGCTTCCGCGTTGACTTGGTGTCCACGTTTCGGGAGAATAATGTTTCTGATGCCCAATTTCAGAGTGCATATTACGCCAGTCTACGTAACCGCTAGTCGCAGAAATCGCACCACCGACGTAGAGCACCAACAAAACCATACACACTGTAAAGAACGACCATATGAGGCACCAGTTACTTCCTCGTTTAGTGGCTACACACGCCAGAACGGCGAGTAAAGTTATCATAACACCCGAGAAAAGGACGACGAGTATTCGCCACCTCTCGACGAGTTGCGCCATGTGGCTGGAGAGAAGGAAGAAGCCATAAACGACCATAACCATTCCAAAGCAACATGGTATCAAATTTAACGTCAGGATTGACGCCCTGCCATGCAAAGGTACGCAGATTGCCATGAACAACAACAACAAGGAGGAGGAGGCTGCTGCTGCTGATGACGAGAATAACTCTTCCGAATATTCGACAATTTCGTCGCGCGTGATAAACTCATTCTCTTGCGAACGACGCAAGGATACCCTCTTGAATTCAACAACGTCCCACAAGGCGAGTGACCAGTTGATTCTTTCTCAAATTATTTTCAAGGATTGGAAATTTTTAAGTTCACCAACGTTTCCTATTACATGATGATGAACGCAATTCATTCTAAAAAGCTAACTGCGACTTGGTATGCTCATTTTTCACTATTTTGGTGTGATTCGACTTAACCACTTCAGCATGAACCCATTGACAACTCAACGACACAACATCAGTGTTGGAAGAATACATGTTTACTTCCCTCAGCTGAGCTCAGGAGTTTCCTGTAGTTAACATACGAATTCGAGTAAAATTGTGCTGAAACTAACGAGAACTTCCCAAAAATTCATCAGAGTTTCCACATTGGAGCTTGGATATTAAAAACACTAGTGGAAAACCATATTTCACAATTCACTTCGGGGAAAACAACTGTGTCGTCGGTCGCGAAAACATATACGTTCCACTTCACGTTAAACGGGTGAAACACCATTGAACTTTCACCCTGGTGAAAAATATATTTCACGACTACTGCATATCACCGCGAATATCGCGTTTTTAGTGCTACGCCACTTCACGTTAAACGGGTTGTGAAACTCCATTGAAACCAACACCCGTAGTTAACACTAAGCGAATTCTCCCACACGGGCTTCCACTGTCAAAAGCGCCTCTGAAATCCATTCGAGCTTATTCGATCGAGAGAGAAAAAGAGAGAGCAATCCTTCTCATAAAGACTAATCGAATGAGTTTATTCACATCGACGACCATACAGGGCGTCTCAGAAGGTAATTGTAATCATTGAAGAACGCGATCACTTCATTGTAGGAGTTAACAGGTTTTCAGAGGCGCTCCGTGCTTGCGTGCACATAGCTAATATCAATACAGCAGGATGCTCGCTCCGCTACAATGTGATACTGTAAGATTCGTAAACTCCTCTCTCTCGGTATATATCGCCCGCCTAAATATGTAATCGTTACATTCCCCATCACCCCACGGTTACCATTCTTAGGGGTATTATATCTGCTGGTCTCAGGCTATTCTAATATGACCCCTACCGTTGCATTACATAGCAAGGATACGACAATACGGACAAACACAACAGTAGCTGGCAAGAAACGTCATTTCCAAATCAGATACAAATGAATATCGTCAGACTTAGCAGCATCCTCAAGTAACCGAAACGCTTCATCACGGTTCATCATCCTATAGGCTTGCCCCTTACGTTCGGGTCTCTCATTGAATTGCTCTATAATATGATCAACAGAGAGCGAGCCGTTGCACATAGTCTGAGAACACTCCTCAGTAGATGTAAAACTGCCCACGACGATCACACTTGCATCATCAGAAAGAGGTGATGAAGATGAAGTGCACTGCATTTTAGAAGAAATTTGAGAATGTGAATTTTTCACGCACGATTAAAGGCGAGTAGCAAACAGGTAGGTGTTAATACATGGATACATCCCGTGTTTCGTGCTATGCAAAGCGAATAAAGTCATTCGAAATTCACCAAGGATAGCAATCGCCATTCGAGACTTTTATATCAGCGTAAAACTAGGCTAAAAATGTAGCCAAGGACTTGCCTTCAGCATTTGAAAAAGCACCGACCGCTGGAAACACTAAAACTAAAACTTCGAGGTACTTATCATAAAACAATCTCAAATTCCCTACTAGTACGAATTACAAGGTGACCATCTAGAATCACAAATTTGAAATATGTTATTACTATACGTTTATTATCATTATTATTTACAGTACGTGCCATCTAGAGACCGACAGTACGTGTGCAGAGGTGACTTTTTCTACAGAGCGATTTTCAAGCTAAAATTTCGAATATATGCTCCTCTTATATACTAGTTATATTACGTCTATAATTACAACGAATGAATAGAAACAACATCATCGACAGCTGCTCACCAGTAGCTCTTGCCGTCTGGCAAGTGCTTGCTCTTCCCTAGTTAGAAAGGCTTGTTTTATTGGCCATGTATTTCGAGGAGGAGGGGGAGGAGGAGCAGCATCCACCCGCCCAGTCTGCTTACCAGAATGCTGCTGCCAGAAGTGTGCCTATACACAGTGACGACGCTCTACCCCCTCCAAGATGGAATTTCAACGAGGAGTGGTATGGCGTTAAACTTACCTGTGGTGGGTCGACTGGGAAGTCTATCGTAATTACTTGAGATCGCGCTTCATGGAGCTCCGATGGGCTCAGAGTTGGAAACCTAAACTTAAACGCTCATCGCCACTTCAGTGTAATCAACAACATTTTCTATGAATGTTATGAACTCACGATATGTTCGCATTCGAATCGGGAAATCATCCAGGAACCTATAATATTCCCAGGGGGAACTCACTTGGATTTTTCCACGTATGGCCAGGAACACATTATTCAATCACATTAGCAACATCATTTTTCCCATTGTTATCGAACCCTAGAGAGCGTTATTTCTCAAAACTAATTCGAATATTTCCTATTCACATACAAACGAAAAACTTTTACGAGAGTTTTTATTTCCTTTTTTCATCATTTTTTCACTATCGAGATCGGTTAAGGCGATTATTTCACCCTTGAGAACTCTCGAGTTTTTTTCAACTCCATAGTTGTTTCCACAACTCACAATCGCATCGGGCGTAATACTCCCATAACCAGGCCGTAAACAACAAAGTGTCTGGGGCTCGCCGATGCAGTTTTAAACTGCTGCCACTTTTTTTCCAGCCACTCCCCCAGCGACAACGACTGATCCATCTCCAAGTAAAGACGATACACATTCTCCGCAGCCGACTCCCATCGGCTCGGCGGTTCACATCGTCGCTCTAAATGTGGGTAAAAAAATCCGTTTAAAACGTCGAGACGGTGTTGCTCACCATCAAAGTCTAGATTAATCGCCCAGTCTCCTAATGAGGATGTCCTAGAACCCAATGGGGAACTGACCATATACTCGTCGTCCATGGTGACGATATTCTCCGCTAGGTCTGGACACACGAACCGCACTACGTCTTCCTGAGCAAAGTAATAGAAAATGAAATGTGAGGAGTTCAACAGAGAGAATGATAATATCTATGAATATGATTTTCATTGGAGTTTCACCACCCTAGTGATATGAAGAACACAAGTAAAAACATATTTCACGACTACTACAGGCCGCGAATATCGCGTTTTTCACAGACTTTTACGCCACTTCATGTAAAACGGGTGAAACCCCAATATTAGAAGTTATCATTTTTTTCATCATTTTATTTAATAGTTATTTTATCACATTGTGAACCACATATTTAAGCTCTTTCAGCGACCCAAGCCACAACGGGGAAAAACTTACTCGTATGAGTTCATCATCAAAATGTGAATGCAACTCAGTAGCATTCACCATGTAGTGAGAGTGTACATCTATGGGATCCAGCATAAAAACGGCCTAAATACATCCACATAGATTCAGCGAGGAGTGGTCTGTACTTACCCCTATCGCAACTAGGTTCTCTAGGCATTCCGTGGTCATCGATAAGTTCGCCGAACATGCCATTTCTGAGATTTCCCATACCGTCCTCAGGCCGTTACACAGATGTAGTATCTACACACCTTAACAGCGTTTGGGTCGGTCGGCAGCAAACTCCAGAAACTTTCGCGCTCCGGAACTTTAACGGGGGATGATGAATTGGTTTTGAAACATTCTACTGTGATTATCATTATGTTTCTCAGAGGTCACTAATGAACTCTTCTAGTTGAAAAACAACATAAACGACAACAACAACAACATGTACAACAACAACAACATATACAACAACAACAACATATACAACAACATATACAACAACAACATATACAGCAACAACATATACAACAACAACAACATATACAACAAAAACAAAAGCGATTTGCATATTGTTTTCTTCACCTGTGCCGCGAACAAGTCAATTTCATCAGTTCCGCCTAAACAACGAGGAGGATACAGTCGCTGAATGTCATCATTCTCTCCAGTATCCAATGGCACTAACGGTAGCTGTGGAAACGGCATCTGAAACGGCTCGATAGGGGACGCTGCCACGTGCTGGAGATCTCGTCGGCTGACTGAGAGAAAACCAAAACCTCATAATCAGCTCTCAAAAATAGCGCTCTCCAGACTTTGATAACAATGGAAAAAATAATATTCCTAATGTGATGGAAAACTGTTTCCTGGACATACGTAGAAATTTCAAAATGAGTTTCCCGCAGGAACTTGATGAAAATACTTCCCTTACATCGTTCATCATCATCTTCTTCCGTGTGAGTATCGGAAACCCAGCTTGCCGAGCTCAACGACGGACCAGTAGAGCTCCCACTGTTCCAGGCCACCGATACATTAGAACCATCACTCGAACTCATCTCAGCAGACTCACCTAAAAAATCTAAAATTCCTTCAAAATTCCCACGAAAACCAGCAGACCTCGAAAGGGTGATTCGCTGCTATTCTTAGCACTCCCCGATCGACTATCCGAATCTTGTTGTTGTTGATGATAATGATGATCAGGACGATACAACGCCGAATACCCCCGTTGAGTTTGGCCAGTTGCCGCTACTGCGTTCCAAACAGTCGCAGAAAGGGACGCCTCGTTAGCAAGGCGAGTTAGACTATGTCGAAAAGTCACTGAGTGAATCTAAACGTGAGCCCAGTAGTAGTAGGAAGAAATACACAAAATTTGCTGAAAAATTTCGAGTCGTTCATTTTTGTACATTCTCACTGTGCAAACAGCAAAGCTTTATAAAAACTCACAAGGGAAAAAAACAAATTCTCCAACACGTGTAGTGTAAAAACCGACGACAGCCATCTTACATCCGTAACAGGCACATGGACAACATCATCAGCATTCTCCAACAACTTTGGTATTTCATCGCTCTCATAATAGAGTTCGCCAACTCCCGTACACGAGTTTAGCTGTTCGCGTACCTGCAAGTCTATTCTGTATGCGATTATGATGATGATACTCCTACGCTTTCCAAGATGTATTTGATCGTCGAACGGCCCGATTCGTCGCTCAGTAACCTCAGATTCGGATCCAGTTCCATACGTGTGAAGTTGATGGCCAACTGCTGTGCGATCTCGCGATAACTACAGTGAACTCATAAGGTTGTAATATAAAAAAGCATTGGAGGTAGCGCTTCATCAGAAAATCACAAGTACACACTACTACGCGCAAGCTGAAGAGATCGTCACCCGTATAACATTTTATTTTATATTTTGTATAGAGTCTCCTCTAACACTATTGAAGTTTCACAACTACCCGTTTTACGTGAAGTGGCAAAGTAATACTCGGTGAAAAACGCGACATTCGCGGTGATATGCAGTCGTCGTGAAATATATTTTTTCACTAGTGTTCTCGTGGTGAAACTCCATTCGACAAAATTTTCCTCGTACCACGTTAGGGAGTCACAAAATAGTTGCAAATTTCATAAACTTTCGTTCTAGTGAGTTACTGAAATTCCGAATATTGACAGATCAATAACACTGGCATCTATGTGTGGAGGGGTATATGCACATGGTCAACTACATGTGTTGGTGACAATATTAAAATTCTGAGAGGAAATTTTCATTAGTTTCCCAAATTCGTATACAAACTCCTATAATTAGCTGAGCCGAACCAAGGAGTCTTCGATGACCTGTTCTTACACTTCCCAAGGAGGCGTATCGTCAGTATCCGAGTTGGTATCAGGGACGATGAAAGCAACACAGAACACCAATGACGACCTATGGGGAGAGGCTCTCAACAAGGAGTGGAAAATATGGTAATAACCTACCGCTCGTATTTCGAATCCTCCAGATAAACAGGGACCCCCATCATCGCAAGGCCCTCAGATAGGCTCACACAAACAACTCGCCAACAGCAATCTCTATCTGAGAGATTGCAACAAAGAGTGGTATGATAAGGAAAAAATTTCGAGGAAATTTTCGGAAAAATTCTCGTTAATTCATATACACTTCTATTCGAATTCGTATATACTCAGGATTGGAAATTCCTGAGCTCAGCTGAGGAGAGCAAACATATATTCCTGCAACAGCAACCTCTATCTGGCAGATTTCAACGAAGAGTGGTATGATGAGGAAAATTTTGAGGAAATTTTCAGAAAAAAATTCTCATCGATTCGTATACACGTGCACCCGAATTCGTGGGTAAACTTCCATAATTAGTGCGAAAACTGCGGAGCTCAGCTGAGGAAAGCAAACACATATTCCTACTCCAACATTGCTAGTTGTGCGATAACGTAAATCAATACTGCAAGAAAATATACAAGTGACTGACAAAATTTTGAGGAAAAAATTTTTACGTAAATTTCTAATTAAACTAAATTCATAAAAAAATTTATTTTAAAAATTCTTCTGATATGATTCCAGTTATATCGTTTCTCCATTTTCCATTGTTTCGAATAGTTCATAAAGTGATAAGCAAATTCATGTTAATGTTAATACGAATTCACAAACATGTACAAATTCGTTCGCACATTGTTGAGGTCAGAAACCTTCTGAACTCAGCTGAGGAAATCAAAAATATGTTTCTATAAACAATGGAGTTTCACCACCCTAGTGATATGAAAAACACTAGTGAAAAATATATTTCACGACTACTGCATATCACAGAGTTTCACGTAAAACAGGTAGTTGTGAAACTTCACTATGCAACACGGACCTGGCAAGAAATGATATCCACATTCCTTCATTTTGGCATGCAGGTCCAAAACTCCGATCGCATTCATCTGCTGTGGAGCTGCTACTGCTCGAGCTTGGCCTTGAACTGATTCGGAAATTATATATACGACAAATACGAAATTCACGTTGTTGAAAAAATATATATTCGTTTTTTTCTCGGCTGAGCTCAGGAATTTCCTCCCTAGTTATATAAAACTTCGGATGAAAGTGTACGGAAACAAGGAAAATTTTTTTTCAAATATTTCCTCAAAATTTTTTCATATTGTCCCAACACGTGCAGAAGCATATTCCAACGCTGAATGTCGTTACTAACACTCACCATGAAATGCCCTTGGTTGGAAAACTGGTAGTTGCGGGTTGTCTGGCGATGAACACGATATCATGTATCCGAGGTCTAGCTGAGAGACAACAACACAATGGTGTTTAACGCGTTTAACGTGAAGTGGCGAAGTAATACTCGGTGAAAAACGCGATATTCATGGTGATATGCAGTAGACGTGAAATATGTTTTTTACTAGTGTTTTTCACCAGGGTGAAGGTTCAATGGTGTTTCACCCGTTTAACGTGAAGTGGAACGTATACGATTTCGCGACCGACGACACAATTGTTTTCCCGCAAAGTGAACTGTGAAATATGTTTTCTCACTAGTGTTTTTCATATCACTAGGGTGAAACTCGAATGAGATGAAATTATTCCCCGTGCGATTCACTCACATCAAAAGTCAAGTATAACATGCAAAGAATCTTCAAGCCTGTAGCATTAGCATAGGCCTGAGCCGCGTTTTGCGAGGACTGCAGAGCTACTATAGATGGTGGAGGTGGTTGTTGTCCAAGCTCAGGAGCACTCAGTCGCATTCTTGGTAGAGATGAATTTGTATTGTTGTTGACTTCATCGTTTCGAGAACCTGTTCCCTGTGGACCTCGGGGAGT